TTATATTACTCTGAAACCCATTTAGAAATAATGTCACTACTAGCAGATAAGTATACATTCAAAAAATTTATACTAAAGTAATGTCCCATACATCAGAGTGAAATATAGTGCTGTCAACCAATTATTTATATTACTCTGAAACCCATTTAGAAATAATGTCACTACTAGCAGATAAGTATACATTCAAAAAATTTATACTAAAGTAATGTCCCATACATCAGAGTGAAATATAGCACTGTGGTACAATTATATATATATTAGAAATTACTATAGTGGTTCATAATAACACAAGAATTTGCTCAAAAATCTAACAGAACATTCTGGCAAAAACCATCTTCAAATGTAAACTTATTCTTGAAAAAACACTCAAAACCATCCTTTTCAACAGTTAAAACCACTCAAACACTGATAATAAGCAAAATAAGTGATTTATTGAAGACGAAATCAAAATTTGCCCAATTGTTCATATTATTGTTTCATAAGTCTACAGGAAAATCAGCTGAGTATTTTGCACTAAAACCTAGACAGATATACTATGGAATGCTGCAAATGCCCATGACCTACTTAAAAGTTGATTATTTTTCATTGAAAGTTGATTTATGTGGTTATAAATACACAACAGATGCAATGTTGTTCTGAGCGGCTGCTTTTGTACTTGACATATATTAAACACATTTACACAAAACATCAGGCACAATGCCACCTGGCTCAATAAATAATTACTTTACAAGACATGAAGCTTTATTTAAAGGAATGTTTAAGATGTATTTATTTCATTTGAAATGGCTGCTTTTCTACTGGTAAAATTTTATACGTGCTTAGTGGGGGTTGTGTCTTACTCTAGGCTTATATTTGCACCATTACTATGCATTAAAAAACCAACATAGAAGATAATTTAAAATCTACAAATAGGGATTGCAAAAATAGTAAAAATCAAAGCCAGAAATCTACTGCTGACAGTTTGGTCAAGCTAAAAATCCCTATTATGACTCCACTATAAAATTTTTACAAGTGATATCTACTGTAGTGTGGAATAACACAGGAATTTTGCAAAAAACTGAGAGTAGTTTAAACTTAATATAACCTCCTTAATTTTATCATGCTGTGAAATTTTCTAAGTCGTTCACTTTCCACCATAAAAAAATCTGGTGTTTTCCTAGCATGTGCTTTAGTTGGAAACTACAAATCCTGCATTTTGTAGTGCATTAAATGGAAACTGCCACATGAAAAGTTCCTGATTTTGCTATTGTATATTGTTAATATAATATAATATTGTTCATCATTACTCAAGTTTGCTGTCTCTACGTGGATTTCCACGACTATATTTCAGTGAATTTTTAACATTGGATAATTAACATAATAGATTTCCCTACTCAGACAACAGTGGTGATTCTTCCTACAGTTTCTTATACTTAGCTGAAATCATGTGTGCATATTCAGTATTTATAACAACTGCGTATAGCACTATTTTATATAGTTATTGCAATTTTTAAATATTTGGTGTTGAGGTAAAGGACGTATATGTTGTCAATAATTGGTGGCTTATGCAAGTGTGTTGCTGTTGTCTATTTTGCATGCATTATTTGTGTCACCTTATTCTAGTAAACACTTATGCACAGCAGGCTAAGAACAAACATATATGTCATGTAGACCTAGCAAGGTAAGCATGTTACTGCATCTGTTTACATTGCATTAATCTGTGTTGTATTATCTTAGAAGAAACATTATGCCATTCTGATGAAATTGATTTGTTGCTGCTCATCTTTTGTTACATTATACTGTGACATTGATGGAAGCTGGTCATTAATTCTGTAACGATACAACATTTGCCTTCAAGATAGTCCTTTGAGAACAATTTTAGATTTTGTTTGTTGTAGTTGTATAGCAGTACACGTGTTTATTCTTTGTTGTACATTTGATATATTTTGAATAAATTCAGTGTGGTGTTTGGATAGAATTCTTCAGTAAGCCTGTTTCGGCATGTGATCCTACTTCCATTCCATAAGGACACCAATTCTTTGGTAAGCCTGTTTCAGCATGTGATCCTACCTCATTTCCATAAGGACAAAAATTATGTGGCAAACATGAGTCAGAATGTGATTCTATCTCAAACCCATAAGGGCATCAATTCATTGCTAAATCTGAGTCAATATTTCATCCTACCTCCATTCTATGAGAATGCCAATTCTTCAGTAAACTTGGATCAGCATCTGTTCTTTTGCTACAGTATTATCATACTTATTGTACTGTCTACATTTACATGTTTTCCTACATAAGATATGGCTTGTACTGTAGTTAGTACATATGACACTCACCTTTACAGAAGCAGTACAGACCACCCGCATTTGTATGTTTCTTCATATGGAAAGCCCGTATCCTTTCTGTTAACTCCAAAATCTGGAACATTACCAAATAAACTAGAATACTGACCATAAGAAATCATGGTTGGTTAGCACACAATAATAAAAACAGCACTCCATACTATATATGTGATAGTGAAACAAATAATTTCACAACTTACTTCAAGTTTCTTAAACTATGACATTAAAACTCGGCATATATGCTCTAAACATGCACCAAACAATACACTGCCTACAGAGGACAAACACTCAAAGTTGAAAAGCTAAGTAGAACCATTTTGACAGGGGGCACAAAAATGATATATCGCCAGTAAAAATTGTTTTTATTGGATCAGATTTTTGGATACTGAAAAAGTGTTGCAAGCTGAAGCATTATCCAATAGAAAAAGATTTTATTTACAGTATGTCATCTTTTCTATTTTTGCTTATAGAGCAAGTCTAATCATCATGTAAGATGTGTGTGTGTTAATAAATAAACTACTTATTTTACAGACTATTACTTTTAGAAGTAGTCTCAAACTTTACCGTAATGGCTGTGCTTTGGCATTGTATTACACACAAATCAATCCTTACTTTCTTTTGTAATGAAATTTTCATTTAAGAACTTTTTGTAGTGCCCTTCATGATCCAACAACCTCAATAAGAATTCCTGAAGTGGCAAGGAGGCATCAAAAAATATTTCTCACAATAGCTCACCTGAACAATATTTTCCTCAGTCTTGCCCCTCCCTTCACCTTTAACTTTTAAGTGTATTTACTTTTGAAGCTTACATTATTCGAACCATACTCAAGATTCAACATGTGGAACACAAACCAGTAACTATGTTAATTTTCAAGACAGTGCCTGAGTGGTCTCAACATATGTTCCAAATGCACACTAGTAAGAAGTCAAATGTAAATCATCTCATGTTACATATTGAAGAAATATTAAACTAATCAATCAGATTGAGTTTAAGTGGGAACTAAATATTAGAGAATCGCTAGAAATTGAAAAAAAAAATACTATTTGTAATAAAGATGGTGGTCAAGGTATGGAAGAAATGAATTACCAAAAATCTGTTTTTGGGGAGAATTATGTTCAAAGATGAGATGGCATTGAAGGTGCAATACAAAATTATGTAAATTGGACATGATGTAGCTATAAAAGTCAGTATCTAACTTTAACTATTTATTACTGCCAATGATGGTGGCATAGAACACCACAGAAACATGGAATTTCTGTTTTTATGGTTGTGACCTGTTTTTAATAAATCTTATTTATTGTGAAACTATTTAAAGTTTGCATATATCTTTTCTATTCATCAGTGTTTCATGTACACACACACACACACACACACAAAAACTATCTCAAGTTAACATACAGCTTTGATGAAAGTTCACAGGATTCTCAATTTTGTTTTTCAAAAGACCATGATACCATGAAAATCATTATCTATATGAAAGTTGGAGTAATTATTTCTGTATTGTGTTTTAAATTCCTTTGAATATTAAACAAATTTTGGAACTTTTTAAACCACTAAAATATGTCAAACGTGAAGTTTTTTTTTATAAAGAAAAGAAATTAATTCCTAATACAATAAAAGGTTTCAACAAAATCACTCAAATGTTAATAAACAACAAAATACAATCTTAAGTTAAAAAAACTAATAATCATTTCCAACGAACAAGAACTATACATCCAGTCAACAGGCAAAATTAGTCAAAGAAAAAAACATTGTTGACAATTTTTTAAAAGAAAAATTCTTTTTTTTTCCATGGAAATACTTGGATAAAGCAACTTAAAGCAATTCAAACAGAGCAAGCCTTTTGCTATTGAAATGTAATAATTATATGTTAACTAAAGATTAATTATAATGTAAAAACAAAATCAGAAGATGACCCAATGGACAGAAACTAGACTACAGAGAAAATCTAAGAAACAAACTTTTAATGAACCAATAGATAATTATAAAAAATTACTGTGGGTTACATTTACAAAAGTAACATTCACACTGCAGATATATTTATCCAAAAAGTACCTTTTTTGTTCCGCTACCATCTAGGATTTCACATAGGAGTTTTTAACTGATTTTTTTTCAAATTACTTTTTGGGTCCTAACCTAAAATGAATAAAGAAACTCATGATGTAACAATTAGAAGAAACACAAAGTGTTAAAAATGCTGGTGAATATCATATCACACTGGCCCGGCATGGCCAGGTGGTTAAGGCACTCGACTCACAATC